AGAATTGACACCCTCAATAAACTCCTGGCAGGAAAGCAAGCTGTGTCAAGGGCTTATAACAAAAGAGTCAAGAACAAGAATTTTGAAGAGGGAGAGATAGTCTGGAAAGCGGTTCTGCCCCTTGGAACACATGTGGCTGGTTATGGAAAATGGTCACCCACATGGGAAGGCCCTTTCATAATCAATCAGATCCTTGGAATGGGGGCATACAGGTTGCAGGATCGAGAGGGGGAAGTTCACGCTGCCCCAATCAATGGCAAATGGTTGAAAAAGTTTTTCCTAACTATGTGGGACCCACAAGCCATACAGACAGATCCCGGGATAGAGAAGGAACAACACTGAAAACTGTTTATTTCAGATTCTATCCAAAATTTATTTCTAATCCAAGTTGTTTACAGTTTATTTCCCTTTTGTATTTTTACCATTGCTGTTTATTTCGTCAAAAGAAATTGAAAACCAAAATTGCAACAAAAATAAACTTTATTTAAAATAAATAGCCATGGGGCCCTCCCCATGGAAAATTGTTCATCATAAAGCAAAAAACTAAAAGCATAAATAAACTAACAAAATCAAAATACTAATTTCTTGAGGGTTTCTTGCAAGTTGGTCTTTTTAAGGGAAAGTTCTTTTTGAAGCAGCACCCCCTGATGGATTGAAGCCTCTGCAATCTCCAAGGCTGGCCTAGAAGCTGCAACCATGCTCTGCACAAGGAAGGTAGCCTTAATCTTGGAGCTCAGTCCAGCCCCGAGCCTGTTCTGCACTTCCCTGCACTCTGCCAGCTGCTTTTGAAGCTCTGCAATCTGCTTCTCCAATTTGTCTGCAGTGGTTTTGGCTTCCTTATACCCCGCCACCATCTGATCCAGTTTTGCCTTCTGCTTTGCAAAATCACCAAGTTGGCTTCATGAGTGGCCTTGCAGAACTCAGAGATTTTGAAGGTGGGCTTGAGATCCTCATAACGGTCGTGAAGGTTGAGCACATCCTTTGCCAAACCAAGGCTCATTTCAAGTATAGGTTTTGGGGCCATGTTCTGTCTGTGCAGCAGGTCCAGATCCTTCATTAGCTGGTCAATGGCTTCCCTATCCTCATCCAGCTCCAGTTCAGTAGACTGCCAGATCCTCAGCCTCTCCATAGCCTCCTCCACTGCCTTGGATTTTGCCTTACCTACAGGAGAGGTGAGCATCTCCAATCTGTCTAGCTGGGCATCTAAGTCCATAGCTTCAAACTCTGCCAGTTCTGGATCAGCAAAGGAGGCCGTGGTAGATGAACCTGGAAGGGAATGAATAGGCATCTGCAGAAGGAAGCATAAGCAAAAAAAACAGGCAGAAACAGGAGAGAAAAACCCAAAAAATGCAATATATACTTACAGCAACAATTGAAGGCTTCAAAGGACTGGTCATCACTGCCAGAAGGCCAGCAGACCCGGGCACTTCTACCTGGAAAGACAGAAACAGTTAAAGAAGCAGAACTAGAATAGAATTACAGAAAATAAAGAGCAGGGTAAAAAGAAAATTACCATCACTTCAGGGGCAGCTGCAGCCACTTTCACTACACCTTCTGCAACTAAAACAGGTAGTTCTGCCTACTCCACAGGCTCGGATGCAGATTGCTCTGCTTGCTCCTCAACTGCTGGGGCAGCAGTAGAGTGTTCTGCCTCTGGATCCTCAAACAGGGCCAGCTCTGAGCTAGTCAGCTCTGCCCTTGTCTTATGTTGCTACTTCTGAGCCAAAGCGATGCTCTCTGCAATCACTTCAGCAGGGATTTCCTCCTACAGATAGATAGAAGTCAAAACAGAGGAAATAAAAGACAAAAATTAGCTGGTACAAAAGACAGAAACAAATCTGTTGATCAAAGACTTACTTCTTCTTCTACTGTCTTTGTTTCTTCTTGAGGTCTCTCTCCAACCTCTTCTAAAGCCTCTAACTCCTTCTCTTGTTCCACAGCTTCAAAAGCCTCTCTCAGCTCTTCATCTGTGCCAGAAGTTGTGGTGGGAACTGCTGCAGTTACCTCCGGGGCCACATATTCCTCTGCAGTCCTCTTTCTAAGTTGTTTTGACTTAGTAGGAGGAGGAGAGGGACTCCCAGCTGCATGAGACAGAAGATAGGCCATTAGAACATAAGCTAAAACAGGCAAAACAGGACAAAACAGAATTATGAAAAAAACTCAAACTGTCAAAATTCACCTGAAGCGCAGGATGTGCAGTTTCCTTTCTTTTTATTCTGGCAGAAGAAGGAGTGGCCTCAACAACCGTTTGTTTTGCCCGATCTTCTTCTTCTTCTTCTTCTTCTTCTCCTTCTCCAGAAAGCAGTTCCAGATCTCCGGCTGCAATAACAGAAGTGACTGCAGAGGAAGCAAACAGGTCAGAAGGTCAATCATGAGAAAGACAAAAAGCAGAAGGAACAGAAGGATAGAAAAATTACCAATTACTTCTCCAGCGTGGACAGACTGTCCACCAATGTTCTGTGTCAAGGAGGGATCTGTTGCGGACAGAACAAAGTGTTAAAACATCATCACTACAAAAAGGATAGACAGAACAGACAGAAGTAAGACACTACCTTCTATAACTTGAGCATTGACGTCCTTGATGGTCTGCACCATAAATTTGTGAGTCTCCTCTCCTGTGTGGACAGTCCATCCATCCCAGCCCTTAAAAAGCACCTCAAGTGCAGCGCTTGAAGCAGGTAGAGCATGGAACCTAGCCTTCCACCAGGCATCGAACTCGGCAGAACTACAGGAATTCGGTTCCATGAGGGATAGAGGGCGTATGCACTATTGTTTATCTTGTTTACTACACATCTAGCATCCTTGTGCACCTCCAGGTCATCTGCATCTCTCCAAGAAGTGCCCCGATTGTAACTTCTATAAGACTTGAGTGGAATGAGCTGAGGGCAGCCAAGTTGCCTTGCACAGAAGTTGGGATGGTAGACTTCTACCCCCAAATGATAATTTGGAGGCTTTCCTCCTCCATGAGGCAGCTCTCTCGGCAAAGTGACACTTGGGAATTTCTTCCTAAAGTCTGTTCTGGCTGCCTCCTCTTCTGGCTCCTTCTCAAATAGTCTGTATCCAGCCTGGAACCAGGGATATGTTCTTCTAATCACCACCTGCCACTAAGCTACAGACCTCTTAGTACAATGCCTGAAAAATATCAGATACTCCTCGATCGATCGCTTTGGCACCTCTGCTGACATCAAGGGAGCTGCCATGACCTGATCTTCAGGCAGAATGATGTTCGGAAACCTCAGTTCCGTGAAATAAACCTGCAGCCAAATCTGGATCATCCAGAATGCGCCGGGAGCAGACAGGTTCAGAGGATTCTCCAAAGTAGCAGTATGCAAATTCTTGAAAAGATGGGCTAGAATTGTAGGACCAAGCCCTACATCCGTATGGTTGTACAATGCTTCTGCCAAATGTTTGTATTCAAGCAGAACTGCTGAAGACCGATTGGGGAGAATGAACCTATTCAGCCAGTACAGAAGGAATAGCATGTGTTGCTGGTCTTTGTCCTTCTCAGCACTGAACTTCCTCATGTAGTTGGAGAAGGAGCAGTTCTGGTTGATAAGAGTTGGAGAGATAGTGAAAGGCTTGGCTAGTTTCTCCTGGTTCTTTCTTCTATGGTAATCTCCTACTGCATCCACAGGTCTTCCATGGGGCCTGAACCCAAATATTTGTGCCATATCTAGCAGAGTTGGAGCCATAGGGCCCACACGGAAGTCAAATGTGTTACTGGCATAATTCCAGAAACATAGAGCAGCAGCCAGGAGGTTCTCATCTTTATTGATGGAATGCTTGGACAGAAGTATGGCATCATATATGCCAGCCCTCTTCCAGTGAGCTCCATATCTTAGAAGGAGTCTGTCAATCCAGTCTACCCATTTCACTGAATTGTTTCTCACTTCACTAGATGGGAACGAACGGCTCAGATTCTTGTTGACCCAAGAATGAGAGGCCAAGGCAGAAGTGCTCTCAAAACACAAAGGAGCTTCAGCATCCTTCTTCATCAATTTTTCCATCTCAGTCGGAACTAGGCCAAACCAGTGTGGACCCAAAACTCGAGTATTCTTGAACAAGCGAAGGACATTCTCATCCAGGTTCTTTTGGGCAAAAGGATGGAGCTTGCTCATAACCTCTATCGCGTGATTGTCAATTCCCTTCCCGGTAATATAATCTAGAGGAACTGGAACAGAGGAAGACTGGGCACGGGATTTTGGGGAAGACATTTCTCAGGATTGTTCTTATTTTATAAAAGGGAAAGTTGATAGGAAAGGCAAGGCAGGTTCTAGCAAAGGGAGAGTTGTCAAAGAGAAGCTCAACAGAGTGAAGTCTTGAAGGACATTCTCATCCAAGTTCTTTTGGGCAAAAGGATGGAGCTTGCTCATAACCTCTATCGCGTGATTGTCAATTCCATTCCCGGTAATATAATCTAGAGGAACTGGAACAGAGGAAGACTGGGCACGGGATTTTGGGGAAGACATTTCTCAGGATTGTTCTTATTTTAGAAAAGGGAAAGTTGATAGGAAAGGCAAGGCAGGTTCTAGCAAAGGGAGAGTTGTCAAAGAGAAGCTCAACAGAGTGAAGTCTGGAGTACTAGGTTTCGGGATGAACAGGAACAGTGGGTTTTGAATTTCTTTTAAATAAGCTCGAAAACGTGGGAAAGAGAAGCCAGGGACGTGGAGAAAACAAGGCGTCATCTGATATTGACTAGCTAATAAAGAGCTAGTAACTAGCAGTTTCACCCGGACACTAGCTTAGTGGGAAGACGTGGCAGACGTGGGATAACGGAAGAAACTAGCGCGCGCCAATTTAATGGCCATCTCAATTAAGTCCGAAACCGTTCCAAAAACGATTCAGACTTAGGGGGCAGTGTTTGGGGCTAAATTAGCACGCCCAGTCCAACAAAAGGAAACCCAAGATCCAGAAAGGCCTAGCCCAAACCAGACCAATGGACTCTGGCCTTAAAAGAAAATCACCTCTTGGGCTCAAAACAAAATAAGCCCAACACGATTTGGATAAAGAAAGGGACCTATCCTAGAACCCACGTGACATCTTTGTATTATCAGGTTTGGAAAAGTCAACAAAACCAACTAGCACAGAGTTGATAAATGGAAAGGTCAGTGGCTGGCAAACTGGAAGAGACACCTCAAAAATTTAAAGATCAAATCCCTCTTAACTATATATATATATTTAGAGATTTAGAGGTTTGCAAAAGGCAGTTTTGCCCGAGACAGTTTAAATTTCATCAACCATTCTGGCCAGAACAACCTCTTTATACTGAGATAAATTGTTAAAGTCCTCACCAGTCTGAGGCAAGAAAAGAACTTACTTGGGAGATATTCCTCACCCAAATTCACAATCGTTTGTTTGCAGAAATCAGTAACTTGGGGCGCAAGTTATCCATTCCAAACTAAGTCTGCTAGAATTTTTATTACTAGCAGTGGCACGCTCGCACACCAAAGAAAGCTGACTTGTTGACCAGTCTATGGTTCTCAAGGCAGTGGGGAACTTTGCCCTTCCATCAGAGTAAATGCAAAACGGGTGAACAATAATAGACGACCTTTTTCTTAAAAACACCGTCATCTTTACTTCATAATAGACGACCCTTTTTTAAACAAACCATCATCTTTACATTTAATAGACGACCCTTTTTTTTTTTAAATACTGTCATCTTTACTTCATAATAGACGACCCTTTTTTTAAAACAACCGTCATCTTTACTTCATAATAGACGATTCTTTTTTAAACAAACCATCATCTTTACATATAATAGACGACCTTTTTTAAAAAAAAAATCGTCATCTTTACTTCATAATAGACAACCGTTTTTAAACAAACCATCATCCTTACATTTAATAGACGACCTTTTTTATAAAAAAAAACCGTCATCTTTACATATAATAGACGACAGTTCTTTCAAAACAACCATGTCTTTACCAAAAAAAAGACACTTGATTTTTAAAAGACAACACTTGTCATACCTGCTATCGTTGTTTTTTGGTCAGATTTTAACTCTGAAGAAAACCTTTTTAATAAGACGACGCTTTTTTATTTGTGTGTGTCGTTATAAAAAAATATTCAACAGTACCTCCGTTTTTTAGTTATTTAAGTCACTTATCCACGACGGTTTTTTGTTACCATCGTCTTTTAAATACAACGACGGTTTTTTCTTCTACCGTCGTCTTTTTCTGGTCGTCTTTTTCACTTTTTGTAGTAGTGATGGTTTCCCGATCCTTCTTCTTAATGTCTTGTTTTCTTATATACTACAATTCTCTTGCATATTCTTCATTCATTGCCTTCTTGTCCGCATCTTTTTTCATGTCTAACTCAATTCTCATGTTGCCATTCCTTGCAATTTCCTCCAAAAATGTTGCAGTATCATTGTTGGAAGTACTCCCCTCTTTACCTTCACCGCCATTCAACCAATAGGCCTCGACTCCTTTTGAATTAGTGAGGCTTGACTCATGTAGGAATCCAAAGGCGAATCTGATGCCGTTGAATCATGAAGTGGCATCTCGTTCAACACAACGGTCAGACGAGTGGGAATAATTTTGTATCGTGAACAATTTTTCACCACCTCCCAACATTATTTATGGTTGAAAGATTTTTTGCCTTGGCCAATGGCACTGAACCACATTTGTGCTTGTATAATCTATTAAAAAAAATATTGGTAATGCAAGAAACATGAAAAAAAAATAACAAATTAGGACATTAAATTTAATAAAACGGAAATTACAAATAATTTACCTCATTGCTAAGATTTTCGGCGCTTCGATGGTTGTCCCTCGCTTTTACCAACGCATCGCTCTATTTCCCCAACTCTTTATTCAAAATTTTGCACCTACTTGCCAATGCCATTTTCGTACGAGTCGAACCTGATCTTTCACAAAATTTGGCATGAGGTTGCAACTGCTCTTAGGAATAGTGGCTAGTTGCATCAGGTTTTAGTATATATAAATTTAAAGAAAATTAGGCATTAGACATAATTAACTTTACTAATTAGTATGTAAGACATTGGGTATTTTGGTTTGGGTTTTAATACCTAGGAAAGAATTGCTATTTTAGATTTGGCCAAAGAAGAGGCCTAGATTCGTTGGGCCAGCTTAAAAATAAAAACTAAAAAGACAATTCTACCCTTCTTCTTAAAAAGCCTGGCCCATCTTTAAACCTAACAAACTAAATGACTATTTTACCCATGACTGTTTAAACTACGCGCGATTTGGTCTTGGTTTCTATTTCGTTTTCCTTCGGCGTTGAGGTTTTGGAGCTCTAGTTCTCGTTCTGCCATTGGAGCTTCAATTTGCTGGTAGGTTTTCGTTCATTTTTCTTCTTTTTTCTGCTACGCTTTCGTTCGATTTGCATGCGGAATGAGGGTTAGTTTTGGGTGATTTATGTTCTCCTTAGTGCGAGTATTTTGAGCTCAATTTTATTGCACGATTTTGTGGCGCAATCTTGTGGCATTCAATGTTAAACCCTCTCTTCTTCGTTTTGTGATCAGATTTGATTTTGAGCTGTTATTTGGTCATGGGGATTTTTTGCAGTCCTATGTCTGAGGTATGAGCACGATTTTGTGGCGCAATCTTGTGGCATTCAATGTTAAACCCTCTCTTCTTCATTTTGTGATCAGATTTGATTTTGAGCTGTTAGTTGGTCATGGGGATTTTTTGCAGTCCTATGTCTGAGGTATGAGTACTTTAAAACCTGTTTTCGTTTATATCGACTTATATGTTTTTAGAATTTTGTTTTAGTACTTTTGTCTTAGTTTTCTTTTGGTTTCTATTCAAAGTTTTTTTATTTTCTGTCATAAACGGCATATATTTGTTTCAGTTTTTTAGCAGAAACTGCATTGCAGTTTTTGGTTTCATAAACT